CTTCCATGAAATACATCTCTCTCTCTCACTATGCCTGGTTTGACACCATGAGTGAAATCTACCATTACAGAACTATGACTGTAAGGTAAATCCAAGTCTCCCAGAGTCATAGTGGACAGTTATTAACTATTAATACCTTAGCTTGGATTACTTGACCAGATTATCGCCAGAATCATAGGTTGTAGAGATGGAAAGGACTTTAGATATCATCTAGTCTACTCCAATCAATTTATTTTACAGATGAAGAGACTAAGTAATTTGGAGATTTTTAATAATAATGAGATTTTAAGTAATTTGCTTAACACTATATAAGATCCTTAGGAACAAGAACTATTTCTTTATGTTGTCTTTATATTCCAAATACCTAGCACAGTGCCTTGTACATAACAGGCAATTAATGGATGCCTAAGAATTGAATTGCCCAAGATCATAGAGGAAGGAAGGGAGGAAAGAAGGAAGGAAGGAAGGAAGGAAGGAAGGAAGGAAGGAAGGAAGGAAAGGGAAAGGAAAAGAAGGGAAGGGAAGGGAAGGGAAGGAAGGGAGGAAGTGTCAGAAACAAGTGTCAGAAGTCATATAGTTAATAAGAGTATTATTTTTTTTTACCAGTAATACAAATATTTTTATTACCATTTTACAGAGAAAAGGACCAAGAGAGTTTTAAATGACTTGACTACTTTTTTTTTCATAAGCTTTAGAGTTTAAAATTTTTCTCTCCCTCCATCCCTACCTCCCTCCCCAACACAACAAGCCATCAGGTATAGGCTATACATATACATTCCTATTAAACATATTTTCTCATCAGTGATGTTGTAAGTAAGAATTAGAACCAATAGGAGGAACCACCAGAAAGAGGAAACAAAACACAACAGAAGAAAAAAATAGCAAATAGTATGCTTTGATCTGCATTCAAACGCCTTAGTTCTTTCTTCTTTGTGGATAGCATTTTCCATCACGAGGCCTTTGGAAATGTAATAAGAGTCTTATTTGAACTGAGTTCTCCTTGACTCCAGGCACAGAGCTCTATCCATTGCACCAACTTAGCTGTCTTTGTAAGTATACCAGTGCTAGAATTTAATCCCAGATCTGAATCCAGTATTTTTTCCAGTATAGTGTATCTCCTGCTCCCTATAGTGTATAAAACCCCAAAAGGAGGAGACAGAAACTGAAAAAGTTTGATGAGGGTCTTTCCTGTCAAGAAAGTGGGGTCCACATATCTGAACTGAGAACATGGGATATTTCTGCTCCCAGTAAGAGTTAGGCAAATTCAGGCCTACTATAATCGTCCCATTCTACTTAATGCTTCCTCCATAAGAAGCAGGCCCACAGACTCTATAGACATTACAGAAAACATAAGCAGAGAACTTTAATGGAAGGTGAGGAAGCAGAAAGCTGAATCATTTTTGAACTCTGGCAAGTTTGATTTTACTTTCATCTGCCTCAGGTTCTTCTTCTGAAAATGGGAACAAAATGATAGTATTGAAAATGTTGGGTGAATTCATTAATGCCTATAAATCAGGTATGGAACCATAACAAGAAACCTAGATTTGAAGACAGAATTAATGGATTTGAACCCTGGCTGGACCATTTATTTGCTTTGTGACCTTGTTCTGTGCCTCAGTTTCCATCTTAGTAAAATGAAGGGGTTGGGCTAGCCTGTGGAGCTCGAGGCCACAGGTGGCCCTCTTGGACCTTAAGTGCAGCCCTTTGACTGAATCTACAAATTTGAATTCAATCAAAGGGTCACATTTGAGGACCTAGAAGGCCACATGTGATCTCGAGGCTGCAGTTCCCCACCCTGCTAGATGAACTTTAAGTTCCCTATTGATCCTAAAACCCTATCGTCCTCAACTTTATAGAAATTCCTTTAATTCAATTTTATTAATTATTTATTTGAATTTATTAATTTGAATTTATTAATTCAGTTCAATCAAAAGGATTGAATATCAGAATTAATTACTAGGTGCCAAAGAGAAATAGCCCCTGCCCTTAAGGAGATGACATTCAAATGGGAGAGATGCCATGTCCTTCTGTCAATATATGTAGTGTATTTATAAAATATAAGGTTGTCTGGAAAAGAAGGCAACTTGAAGGACCAGGAAAGGCTTCCTGTCGAAGCATATTACTAAGAAGTCTCACAAATGGATCTTTAATCAGAGGTTCAACATTATCTTACAAAAAACAAACAACAACAATTAAAAAAAATTAAAAAATTAAATCAATAGTGTGTGATCTTTAATTCCATTTGGATTTCTTGTTCCTTAATAGAGTACTTCCATTTATCCTGTCTCTTTGGAATGAGACACCTATGTGGAGAGCTTTTTGTGCCTAGGTAGGAGAAGCTCACGGTTTACATCTCCTGAGCTCAACAGAAGGAGGGAACTGGGGTTGGTTGTTTTTATTTCTGCTGCTACATGAAGAGCAAGTCATCCTTCATCTTTTATCAAGAAAGGAAGGCACAAGGACAAGCAAACAGAATGGCTGCCTGCATTTACCTCTGATTAAAAAATTATGACTATTTATATGTAAATTAGGTGCAGGCCCTGAAAGTTGCAAAGTTTGGGTGTGTCTTTCTTGCCAGTGGTATTGCTGAATTGGCACCAGTGGTCACCACTGCTTTGGCATGAGGAGGGGAAAGATGGGTAGAAATGGTGGTTTTACTGCACCCCATTTGGGAAAAGTGTAAGTAAGAGCCTCAAAACTCTGTCTTATGTTTATACAAATGCCATTTGTTAAGTTTGTGAACATGTTTTTTTAGAGGTTAGGGTTTTTTTGTTTGTTTGTTTTAAATCTAATAGATACCTTCTGTCCAGTTGAAGTCTCTCCCTTCCTTTGAGAGCAAATTTCGATGTTTGTTTTTGCATGAAGCCTTCCTTGAACTTCCCCCGCAACCCCCCCCCCCACTCCTACCCAGGTGAAAGTGATTTTCTGCCTTTCCTCTTATGTATTGGTCAGTCCTGTCCAATGCTTCATGACACCATTTGGGGTTGTCTTTGCAGAGATACTAGTGTGGTTTGCTTGTTTCCTTCTCCAGACCATTTTACAAATGAAGAAACTGAGGCAAACAGGGTGAAGTGACTTACCTAGGGTCACACAGCTAGTAAGTGTCTGAGGTCAGATTTGAACTCAGGAAGATGAGTCCTCCTGACCCCAGGCCTAGCACTCTATCCACTGTGCTACCTAGCAGCCCTTTTCTCATATAGTAGAGTGTTAAGTCTCATTGATCTAGAATTGGAAAGGACCTCAGAGGCCAAATGATCCACCATCCTGATTTTAGGGATAGGGAAACTGAAACCTAAGGAGATTAAATAACCTTGCTCAAGGTCACTTGCTAGTGAGAATCAGAGATAGCATTCAAACCCAAGGCTTCTGACTCCAGAACTACTATTCATTCCACTGTACCATGGTTTGCCATCATATTCAAGACACATGATACTTACTTATGTATATGCTGTATCCACCCTCTTGTTCCCCATTTGTCCTTTGCTGTCCCTCCATTCCAGCCCTCCAGTGGACCATAATGTCCATGAAAGCAAGAACTCTGTCCTTCTCCTATATATCCCTAGTGCCCAGAAGTAAATGTCCACTGATTGAAAGGAACTGACCGATACTACATGTCTACAAGGGAGGGAGGGCAAAAGGACACTAAAGGGGAATGGAGTAAGCATTTATATACTACCTACTACAAACCAGGCTCTTTCCTAAGTGCTTTTCAACAAATAATATCTCATTTGATCCTCACAATAAACTTGCAAGTTAGGTGCTATTATTAGCCCCATATTACTGTTGAAACTCAAGCAGACAGAAGTTAAGTGACTTGCCCAGGGTCACACAACAATAAGTGTCTGAGGTCACATTTGAACTCAAGTCTTCCTGACTCTAGGTCCATCATTCTTATCTACTGCACCATTAGCTTCTATGAAAAAAGAGAAGTGAAGTGGTTTGATTTCTCTGAAGTCACACAGTTGTCCAGCTGGGAACAGAATATGACTCTTTCTCCAACTGCCCTCTATATATGCAAGTTTGTATATGCAGCTTTCTGAACAACCACATGTACTATCACCCAGAGAGATATCTATGCAGCACAGATTACTTCTGACTTCGGATTCAAACATGGCTCAATCACAAGTCTCAACCTGTGAGCTTGTAGCAGATAATGCTGGGACACCCTTCCCCTTTCCCTGCCCCATCTTACAGAAGCTGTATTTTCAACACCAGCAGTGAGTGGGTTTGCCTCTTTCTAGTACTTGCCATCTTCCCCCGTATACCAGCAGATTGCTAAAGCTCTATTGATTCAATTGTTCTTTGTAGAGAGGTCACAGGGAGTTTGGATGAATATTAGAACCCTTTTGCTGGGAAATATTGGATAGTAGTTGTTATACTTTCTATATGGATTCAGTGTGTAGTTACGGGAATGAATGACCCTAAGACTGATGCCTCCTCTTTTTAAAAGGTCGAGACAAAACTGCAGCCAGGCAGTCACTACTACCAGTTTAGAGTCAGAGGACTTAGGTTTTAATCCTAGTTCAGTCACTTATCTTGGGCAACTCAGTTGAATTCAATGTTTATTAACTGCCTGCTATGTGCAAGGCACTGGGCATATAAAGACAAGAACTAAACAATCCCTTCCTTCGAAGAATTTATTTTCTGTTGGGGGTGGGATGTATCATATAGACAATTGAGACTATACAAAGTAATTCTAAGAGGGAAATCTTTGGGAAGATCAGGGAAGGCTTGCTGTAGGAGGTGGCACCTGGAATGAGTACACTGTCATGCAACTTCCCTTGGCTTTAGCTTCTCCTTTTGTAAAATGAGGGGGTTGGCCCATGTGACTGCTGAGATCCCATCTATACCTGAATTCTTCAGTTCTTTGAGTTGCTCCCATTAGACTGTAAGCTCCTTGAGGGCAGGGACTATGTTTTGCCTCTTTTTGTATCTCAAGTGCCTGGTATATAGTAGGTGCTTAATAAATGTTTATCGATTGACTGATTGTTCCTTTGTAGGCCTCCTTTTCTGCTCCACATTGAGACCTGGGTTCTGTGTAAATTGTTCAGACACCTGAATTGTTCCCTGGGGAGACCATGGAGGAGGACCACGGCCACCAAGGTGAGAACATCAGAAAAAAAAGTCCAATTCCTAGCTATTCCCCTCTTTCCAAGCCATCCATCCACCTATCACTCAGGAGAGGTTCTGTCTCTGGGCCAATCTCAGAACTCTCTCTCCTCTCAGTATCCACAGCTGGAGCCGGGCCTTCTCTTGGCAAGCTCCTTTCCCTGGGTGTGACATTGCTGGAGGCCAAAGCTGAGTTTCTGTTGTATGCCTGCCAGTGTACACAACTCCGACAGGCTGCGGCCCGAGGAAGGAGGCTGTCATTTGCCTGGGCCTTGTTTAGAAATGATAACTGTTTGACAGAGGATCAGGGAAGGGGCAAGGAGGAGCTCAAAGCAGCCCAGAGAAGCAAGCAATGCCTAGGACTGTGGGACAGAGAGCCAGAAGGGGACCCTAGAGACCATTTGGGCCAATACCCTCATTTTACGAATGAGAAAACTGAGGCCCAGGGATTTGCCCAAGATCATATTGCTAGTCAATAGCAGAATGAGGATTTGACCCAAGTCTTCTGACTCCATATATACAATTCTTTCTGTTCCATATCACTGACTTGGGGACAAATATGTAACAAATCATGTCTCCTTTCGGTTTTGTTTTACTCTAGAGAAGGACTAATGAACCTGGCTCTGCTACTCCTCTTTGCCAGGCTTGAGAGAATGTCTCTGTGTCAGGAAAGGAAAACAAGCACACAACTTCTTCTGGGGTGTATGAAGAGAGGGATAGGCAGCAAGAGGGGCCCAGAAGCCCAAAGAATTTTGACTCACTTTGTGCTCTAGAAGAACAACAGTCAAGAAAGCTTTGGACCCAGATGGGAGCTCACTTGAGTAGCAGATGGCGGAGCCCCAAGCCCCAGAAAGGGAGCGAGGAGCACGGAGAAGAGGAGCAGAACTCGAAGGGAAGTCAGGTCTGCAGTTGCACTAGGGCATGACAATGCTCTCTCCTTCCCCGGCTCCCTGGGCTACCCTGCCTTTCCTCACCTGCCTCCTTTGTTGGCGTTCCTATGATGAGGCAAGCCTTCTTCCAAAGCTGGCAATTGGCAATTAGTCAGCCAGGCAAAAGCAGCCACAGACTTAGACAGCAAGGCATCTGAACAGCTGGTTTCACCAGGCATTTGGGAATGTGTGTGCATGTATGTGTACATGTGTGTATAGATATATATGTATGTGTGTACATATGTCTGTATATACATATGTGTGTATATGTGTATGTGTATGTATACACAGAAAAAGAGAGAGACAGAGAGAGAGAGACAGAGACGCAGAGGGAGAAGAAGGAAGGAAGGAAAGAAGGAAGACAAGAGTACGGAGCAATCTCCTAACCATCATAATGGAGGATTAGGGTTGTTGTAGGGGAGCTAGAGTACTGACTTTTAAATCCAGGTGACTGGGGTTCAAATCCTGGTTCTGCTTGTGACCTTAAGTTTCTTCATTTGTAAAATGTGTATATTCAGGGGGTGTGTGTGTGTGTGTGTGTGTGTGTGTGTGTGTGTGTGTGTGTGTG